CCCTGGCAGCTGTGCTAGTGGTTACACTCTATGCAGGATGCAGCTCCCACACAGGACACTGCCCCAGGGCTTGTCCAGCATAGCCCTGAAGGCCAGGATCACTGCTGGTGCCTACCTTGCTGATTTGCTGCCCGAGAGCTGGCAGGCAGTGTCAAAGCTCAGCACATCCATGCACCGTGAGTGGCCCTGGTACCACCTGGACACAGCCTGAGGAGATCAGATGGGGAGCACTGGCCGCAGCTTGTAGCAGCACAAGAGCTGTCAAGCCCCATGCCTGGTGTCCCCTCAGTGTCTGGGCTAGAGGCTAGCTCATGGCCTGATGCCCCTGCCAAGGTCAATGGGGTACATGCTGCTGCTGAGCCTGGGATGCCATGGCAGCTGGAGGACCCCATGGCAGTGCCAGTGAGGCAGGCGGTGAAGTCCTGTTCCCATGTCTGGTGCTGAAACATCACCTGTTGCACTGGCTCCAGCAGGACTTGATTGCCAGCCTGTGGCACGTGTTGCAGGACAGGTACCTGCCCCTCCGCTTTGCATCACCTGCACAAGTAGGTTTCCAGCTCCTGGAGGCAAATTCACTGCCTCTGCTGAGCCCTGCTCCCATTTGCTTGGCCTCCATGCTTCCTGGAATTGCAGCTCTGGCTGCTGGCATCTCTGCTTTGTGCAAGCATTTCCAACCCAGAGAGGCCCTCCTCCAGCCCAGACAAGGTGGTGAGGGTGTTCCTGCTGCGTTACTGAGACCTCAGTGGCTGGGGCCATCTAGGTACACCCTGAGCCACACACCCTCTGGGTTCTCTGCACCTGGACCATGGCAGCTCTTTCCTCTGTTTCTCTTGTGTGGTTGAAGCTGGACCTTCCTCCTTCCTGGGGAAAATGAACTGTTCTGTATCTCCCAGTGGCTGTCCTCTACACTTTTCCTTCCCCTGAAGCCTGCACTTCTTGTCCCCCTTCCCAGTGGGCTGTCCAGGGGCCCATTTCTCTAGGGTTGGGATAGCTCAGAGGAGCGTGGCATTCTCCCCAGTACAACTTACCTTTGCTGCCGCACCCCTACCCCCAGGGTCCTCCTTAATGCCTCGTGTTGTGTTGCAGGAGCAGGAGGAGGAAGCACGCTTGGCCATGATGCCAGCCTGGAGGAGAGACATCCTGCGGAAGAAGCTGGAGGAGGAGAGGTGAGCGGTCCCCCTTACCCCCACAGGCTGTATGGGCCTGACCCACTGTCCCATGACTCAGAGCTAATGGTTTTCTTCTCCTTGCTTTCACAGGGAGCAGAAACGGTGAGTGCTTCTTCCCACTCCCTCGCTGCAGATGTGGAGCCACACCCCTGGCCTATGCAGGTGGCCATGGGAGGCTGGCATCTGAGGCTTTGCAGGCTTGATCCCCTGTCTGTGAAGGGGTTGGTGCAGGTGTCTGGGTACTGTAACCAACACAGCCCTCTGCTTTGTTCCCAAACAGAAAAGAGCAAGAAAAGCTGAAGCGGGAAGAGGAGGAGAAGGAGAAGGAGCAGTCAGAAAAGCTAAGGACTCTGGGGTACGATGAGACAAAGCTGGCCCCCTGGCAGAGGCAGATTATCCTGAAGAAAGGGGACATAGGAAAGCATTAGTTGCCCCATGTTCCTGCCTCCCTTGCGTGAATGTAAGCCCTTTCTTCCTTTGCTCTCCCATGGCACGAGCTGTTCAGTAGGAGGGGGAAAGCCACTCGCCATGGCCATCCATGTTTGCAGGCCCTGCTAGCAGGTGGCTCTACCCTCCATGCTGGCATGGCGCTGGACTGTGGGGCCCCACCAGCATGCCGCAGACAGAGGCGCTCGTGGAGGGAGAGGGCCAGGTTCCCTTCATCCCCTCACTGAACTGTCCCCTACCATGCTGCACCACGCTGCTGGCTCCCCTGCCCCAGTCACCTGTTCACTGTGAGCCCCGACTTCTCCTGTGGTAGGTGGCAACCCTAGCGGTTTCCCCAAGCACACTGCTTGTGGGCTCACGAATGCAGTGCACTTGGGCTCTGCTGCAGCAGCGCCTTTCCCAGTGCTGTCCCATTGCCCTCAGCCTCTGCCCCGCACTTCAGATGTACATTTGTATTTCACGATACAGGGTCTTCTCCAGGGCAGCCTGTGGTGGATGACTTGTCCACGGGCCAGCCAGGGGGTGAGATGTTTCTTCAGCTGCCATATCATGTTGAGCCCTGCTCCCATCCAGGGGGAGGGAAGGGAGGGAAGTGGGGGGGTCATGTTGTTTTCTATATGTTTTTGTCATGTGTTCGCTCTAGCGAGAGACTCTCCAGCTTGTTTCTGACTTAGCTCTTCTGCAGTTTCGCCGATTAAAACTGTAAAGCCCTGCCCAGTGTCTCCTTCCAGGTTTGCCTTTTCCCATGACCAGCCTGGGGAGGCCCACCCCACACACCCAGCTACAGCAGCCCTAGGCATCCATGATGGCTGTCCCAGCTTTTCCCAAACAGCCTTCTCAGGCAGCAGGGCACTGTACTCCTTAGCAATACCAGGTGCTGGCTGGCTCTGTCATCCCCACACCATCCAGACTGGGGCCTGAGCTGCATCCATGCTGGCCTGCCCAGTGGTGCCTCCACTCAGTCACACCCTCAGGGCAGAATCTTGGTAAGCCACAGGCAAGAGGAACCTGCATGGCTGGGCATCACCCCCACCTGCTGCAGGGTCCCCTGGGTGGGCCTAGAAGCACTCTAGGTGCTTCTGGGACATCCAGGCTCTGCTGGCTGAGCTTGGCAGGCTAGTGAGGCTGTGCTTGATACATCCCCATGGGACAGGGGTACTCACTCACTGGCCTGAGCCTCAGTACCAGCACTGTACAGCCAGTGGCTGCTCCCATGCCCCTGCTGCAGGCAGCTGACACTGTACTAGGACTTCACCCCACTGCACACACCCAGGTGCATGCCCCCTTACCATTCTGCTTTAGTCCAGCAGCACCTAAGAGCAGTGCCCAGCTGCATGTCTGCTGGCTATGAGCTGGTCCCCAGGGTGGGCAGCATGGGCTGGGCAGCATCGGCTTGCACAGCAGTGCTCGTCACACAGCAGCACAACACTTCCCCCGCCCCCAGAAAAGAGCTACTCCCAGTAGGCAGACCAGGGCCTGGGCAACCCCACACAGCACAGGGGGGGCTGGGACTGCCCTGCCCAAGTTCACTGAGTGCAGTGAAGGGAGGAGATGGGTTCAGTGAGAGCCATTACACAGCAAGACCAGGAGTTAACCATTAACAAAATTAGCTGCAGTTGCTCACCTCAGTCCAGACCATTTTATTGCATGTGATCCAATGCTCCAGCATGTTAGATCAGGGGTTCTGGGGAGGCTTGGAGACAGGGGAGGGCAGCAGGGAAGCAGCTAAGGGGGAAGATCCACCTTAGGCTGGGGGTGAGGAATTGTCCAACCCTAAGCCAGGTGCTGGCATGGCCACAGGACCCATTCCAGGTACCTGCTGCTGGGCCTCACTGGCCCTGTTCCTCTTTCAGCTGCTTCTACCCTTTCTCACTGTCTGACCTTGCACTGATGTGCCTCCCTCATGCGTGTAGTGTACCCCTCTGCCATAGGCAGCTCCACAGCAAGGCCACCCCCACCAGCCCCGAGTCCCAGGGTGCTGTCATGTGCCCCAACACTCCCATAAGAGATGCAGCACCCACAATGGATACCACAGGAGCTGGGCATCCCCTTTTATCTTCCAGACAGACCAACCAAGAAATACCCCCTGCCCAATCATCTTGCATGCTTTCCTTGATCACCCCCCACCCCTCACAGAGATGCCAGCCCTGGAATTTCCCTCCCCCATCCCACCTGCCCTGCAGGGCTAAGCCCTGGGTTCCACGGATGTAACCCAGCTCTGATCATTCAGCAACACAAAGCATATAAATAAAGCCAACAGCTGTCCCATCCCCTGGCTGAGGCAGGGAACCCCCAGCAGAGAACTGCAGTCCAGTCCCATCATACTGATGGCTGAGAACACACCAGCCCTGCCCTGCTACTGCTGGGCAGAGCCAACACAAGTAACTGACATAAAATGTCTACAGAGGATAAGTAACAATACTTACTGGTACACAGCACCCACTTGCCCACCCACCCACAGCCTGAGCGCCACTCCCTGAGCAATATGGGAGAGCCACGGGTCTGTCCCACTCCCCAGCAACCTCCTGAGTGGCCTGTGGCAGACGGAGCTCTCATCAAACACCCCCAAGATTGGGAAGCTCACCCTGCCTATGCTTCATCACTATCAGTGAGGCACATTTGCCTCTGTCAGTGAGGCACTAGATGGGAGCACCTGGGGCAAAGCCCCTGTGCTGAACCAGGCCCCTGTGCAGCTAGCTGAGCATGCTCAAGGGTTCACTGGCATAGCTTAGGGCTAATAAGGCAGGCCAAAGTGCCAAGGTAGCTGGCACAGGTGTGTGTGAGCCCTGAGGCCCCCAGGGAGCATTGTGTCCAGGGGGCAAATGAGCAGGGTCTGAGCTCCTGTGGTCCTAGTGTTTATAGAGTTGGAGCTGAAAGTCTCTAGGAAGGCCAGGGCAGGGAGCAGGCTATGCTGTGCTTCCCTGCATGCCTCTTGCCCTTGCAGTGTTGAGGGGCTGCCGCAGGCTTGGCTGTGCCATGAGCCTTTTTCACAACACAGTGCAGAGTACCAGCACCTGCTGCAAGGGGAAGCCAGGGCCTCCTGATCCAGCTAATGCCAGGGATGCAGCAAGTCCTTTCTATCAATGTGCTCCCCAAGCCCCCACCTCCAGGCTGGCTCTGTCACTTAAGGGTGATGGGCTGGGCACTGGCTCACGAGAAGCACTGAAGCCGATGCCAGAGCTCCTCAGCACAGCCAGACAGCTCCATGCGCTCCAGGGCATGGATGACAGCACTGAGCGTGGCATGCCGCTGCTGGCACCAGCGCTTCAGCATCTCATACTGCTGGTCCCGGACATGGGTGAATTCCATCTCCACCACTTCAATCTCAGCATCCCGCAGCTCCAGCACACGCATGAACTCCTTCCAGCGCCGGACAGGTACCGCATCAATGATGTCATACAGCTGGCTGCCCGGCTGCAGCACGCTGCCACGTGGGGGGCCTGAGGGACAGCAGGTGGGGTCAGTGTGCAAACCGTCCATCAGGCAGCAGGGAGAAGTGTGGGCAATGCAGGGGATGTGAAGGCACTGCTTACTTGGTGCGTCCTGGTGGGGCTCCTTGGAGGACAAGCTGCAGGAGGCAGTAGCGGCCCAGGCAGCACCATTCATCTGCAGTGACTCTGTTAGGTTCAGCTGGAGCAGGTTCTGGGACTCCAGGCTTGGGGCTGTGGCATCAGGCAAACACGGCTCAGCCTGGAGGAAGCAGAGCAGCCTGTCTGAAGAAAGCCGTGACCCCAAAGAGGCCAGCCCTGACACTGAGAAACACCTGGGGCTGAGAGCCACTACTAGCCAGGGGGAGACAGGAGGAACAGCAGAGCTTCCTCACTGGCCAGGGGCTGGGAGGCAAGGCCAGAGCCAAGCAGCCCTATGAGACCTATGGGGCAGGGCATGGCAGGGGTGTGCAGCAGGGAACCTGCTGGTTGGCGTTGGGTGGCCACACACCCACACCATACACGGGCAAGGCAGGAAGGGGCAGGGCCCAGGCCAGAGGCCCCAGGCTCCCATGGACTCTCACCTTCTGCAACATCAAGTCTCGAACTGCAGCCTCATCTGCTGGGGAAAGAAGCAGAAGTCAGTGGATGAACAACCCTGCCCTGCCCCTGGACATGGCCACCTGGCCAGCTCCAGAGCTCAGTCCCAAAGGGAGGCTGCTGGCTCAGCATGGGAGGGTTACCAGTGCTCAAGGTGTCCTGGCTAAGCTGCCTCCTCTTGCGGTAGGCGACAAGAGCTCCCAGGAGGAGGGGCCCAATGAGGCACAGCAGGAGGTACTCCAGGCCGGTTCCTGCAATGAGCCATGGGAGAGGGTGTCCAGAGAGCCCAGCTGCCTACTTTGTGCCCCAGGCCATGGGACTGTCCCTGTGCTGGGCCAGTCCTCATGCACCTGGCTGCAGATGGAGGCAGGAGCTGTTCTGCCCAGGCTTCCTGCAAGGATACTGCTGGACTCATACCCCATGGCACCTTAGGGCATGTTTGGGGCCCATGAGCTCCAATGAGGCCTGGCACCTCCCTACCCCTGGTCTCCATACCCCAAATACCTGCAGGCAGGTTGGGGCTGTCACATGTCTTCTCACAGCTGTCACCACACCACTCGAGGCCCTTGCTGGAAAGGAAATGGTGAAGGCAAGCATTGTGGGCAGCTCCCCACTTGGCCTGAGGGCATGCCTGCTCCATGGCATGGCCTGCACAGGGAGAGAGTACACTAACCCACAGGACCCTCTCACCAGTGTACGCACACACACAGATGCACAGGCATGCAAACAGCTGCCCCATGCCTGCTCAGACACAGGGTGCCACCAAGGCTAGCCCAGCCCCTGCCTCCATGAAGGGGATGAATGCATCACAGGAGGCTGAAGTACTCTCAGCCCCTGGAACAGTGTCCTGCTGGCTGGTGCATGAGGCAGGGAGTGGAGCAAGATACCTAGGTATTCGGGCAGGAAGCAGGACAAGAGCCTGGGATTTACCTGGCGCAGGGTTGGCACTCGCTGCCCTCCAGGAAGAAGCCAGGCTGGCAGTCCCCACACTGTGTGTCCTCCCTGGAGGAACCTGAAAGCAATGGCATCTGTTACCACCTGCAGGCTGAGCCAGGCCAGGCCCATGGCAGAAGGAGCATTTTGTCACACAGCAGGGCTGTGGCAACACACTTGCCACATGCCAGGAGCAGCTGCTGCTGCTGCTGCTTCTGATGCAGTGCTGCTGGGTTCACTGCAGGCAGTGATACTCCAACAGCACAGCCAGGAGGGCAGCAGGGAAGGACAGGAGGTAGTGTGGGGGCTCAGGGGCAGCTAAGGTACTCACAGTTGCGGCGAGTGGATCTGCCCCGGCACTGGCGACACTGTGTGCAGGTGAAGTCCTTACAGGAAGGCTGGTTGCACCGTTGGAAGTAGCCCAGCTGACAGCCACACTCCACATCGCTGGTGGCAGTGCAGTTCTTCAGCACAACTTGGGAAACTGAATGCAGGCAGGCTTAGTGCACAGGGCAGGGAGGGGGCCGTGCCCGGCAAGCAGGGTAGCACATGTCCCCACATGCCACCACCCACCAGCACAGGGGCCTGGCCTGGCTGCTGTCCCAGCCTGGCTAGTGCCTTTGCTCAGGCAGCCTCCTACCTTGGGCATCGCACTCAGAGCAGGCGAGGCACTCAAGCATGGTGTTGCAGGCAGAGAGGAAGGTGCCAGTGGGGCAGTGCCTGCAGGTGGGCTCCTCACCAGCGTGGGCACAGGGGGACTCCATGAATGTCCCTATGCAAACAGCAGCAGCTGGCAATGTGCTACTGGACCCCACCTGGTTCACAGGCAGGGTCCAGCAGGCAAGCCCAGAGCCTGGCCAGGCCTGCTCAGGGAGCAGGGGTTCCCCAGCTAAGAACTTCAGAGCCCAGCACTGCTCTGCCTCCGTTGGGCTGGATCCAGACTCTGCTCCCACCTCCACCCCTCTTTATATGCAGGGGAGGCCAATTGCAGTGGTTAAAGCCCAGGCCTGGGTGTCTGGATGCCTGGGTTCCTTCTCAGCTGCCCATGGGATCTTGGGCAAGCCCCTTGCACGCTATCCCTGAGTTCCCTGCTGCCCGACAGGATGATTCTGCAGCCCAGCCCATCATGGCTGCAGCCCTCATGCCCCTCAGGTAGCTGGCACAAAGCAAGGTGCTGCAGCCCTCCCAGACCTCTCAGGTCTTCACCCCCTGTGAGTAGAAAGCCTCACCTGGTGGGCACATTTGGCAGCAGTGCTGGGTGCCTTGAGGCTGCACCTGACCATCCGGGCAAGAGAGCTTAGAAGCCTGCTCCAGTGAGCTCCTCTCCCTCCTCAACTTGTCACGGTGCTCATAAGCATGAGGCCACCTGGGACCTGGGGTCTCAGACCTGCTGCCTGTCACCGCAAGGAGCGCAGTCAGACAAATCTGGGAGCAGAGAGAAGGGGTCAGGGCAGGAGCAGAGAGGGGCAGTCCCAGTGCCAGGGACCCAGCTGCCCACCAGGTGGCACTGCTGCTGTGATGAGGGGAGAGGAGGACAGGTATAAATGGTGGGGGGGACTGTTGTGAGCTGGGGGGGCAGTAGGGGGGAGGTTCTCTGAAGCCCTAACAACAGGTCCTGTTATCAGACCAGAATGACTGCAACACCAGGTTCCCTGGCCAGGGCCTGGCCCACTGCATAGCTCTCTCTACCCTGCCTCGCCCTGCCCAACCTGTGCCTGTTCCCCTGGGCCTGGGGCACACAGGGCACAGGGCTGGGCATCCTTCATAGGCTGGCCTGGGCACACAGCCCTGCACTGGGAATGCCCCCACAGCATATTTCCTCATGCATGCCAGCAGCACTCCCCACCCACCACAGCATGTGAGCAGAGGGACCTGGCTTGCCTGATGCTACAGGGAAGTGTTGTCGGGGACATGTGACCGCAGTCAGGGCCACTCCCCCGCTTGCTGGTAATGGGGAGGCTGGTGGTGAGGGCCAAGGAGCCTGCTGCATGCGCAGAGTCGGCACAGCAGTTCCTGGAAGTGGCACTGCTACTCCCCACCTTCCCAAGAACTGCGGGCTGCTCGGAAAAAAGGAAGCCATGATTCTGCCCCGCAGCACGTGGGGCTTATGCTCTGCTGGGCATGGAGCAGGGCTGGGCACCCTCCACTGCAGGTGCCCCCAGCCAGCTATGCAGTGCTACCCCACCCTGCCACTGCCCCACTGGTGTCACAGCCTGGCTGTACTGCAGGCAGCTGGGGCAATGGAGGTGACCCCAGAACAGCAGGGTGAGCCCCCGAGCCTGTCAACACATCCTCATGGCAGTTCCAACCTCACAGCCTTGCTGCCAAGTCAGCCCCAAGCACCTCCAGCCCCAGGCACCTCAGCAGGCAGTCCCTAGCCCCTGGCCCCCCTGTGCATCCTGCCCTGCCCATCTGGGCATTCCCAGACCCTACAGCACCCTGCCCAGATTGGGCAATGAGCAGGGCACCAAACTCAGGGAGCTTACTCCCCTTGGGTGGCTAAAGGGGCAACAGCTAAGGGTAGCAGCTGAAAGACCTCAGTGCCCACCAGCCAGCTCAGCTCCAAGCCCCACAGCCAGACCAGGGTGCACTCTGTGTGAAGGAGATAGGACCATCCATGCCAGGGCTCTGGGCTCCTCACTACCAGCTGCACAGGACAAGCCTCAGTAACTGAGACACCCAACCCTCTGCCAGCACCTTCTACCAGCCCTGCTCCTCAACCCCCAAGCTACCCCCATGGCCCCTGCCCCCATATCAGCGTGTGCAGGGGGAGGGCTGAGTGGGGCAACAGGCAGGTGCGTGTGTGTAGCAGGCCAGGCCGTGAAGGGTTAACACAGCATATACTTGTTCCCCACTCTTTTATCTCTGTGCTTGGTGTCTGGGCTTGGAGGCGGCGATTTCCTCCTGAGGAGGAAGCCATGCCCAGAACACAAGCTCCTCGATGGTATCGCACTGCTGACGCATGCCCCAAGTAGGTCATGACAGCCCAGCCACTTGCGGGGGCTTCTGGGGCCAACACCCTCAGCTGGGCCATGTGGTAGGAGTGGAGGGGGACAACAGTGGGGTCTCAGACAGTGGGGCTGGTCCCTGCTCAACCCCTTGGCCTGAGGCCCTGTGGCCCAGCTGTGCTTGGCACTGTACATTCCCATCTATGTCACCGCTTCCCCAAGGGTGCAACAGAGCTGGCCTTTCATATCTCAGGAGGAGGGAACTGGTCCCACACTTAGCTTAGTGGAGCACAGGGCCTGCCTGGGCAATGCCACCACCCTGTCGTCCCTTCCACCCCCAGTCCTGACCTGCCCCTCATGGCAGCGCTGGGGGCCAGGGCCTGGGCCTTGCCAGCATGGCAGCAGGGATGCTCTCTGGCACAGTGGCCCTGGCCTTCCCTGGGGAAGGTGGGTGAGCTTACAAGGGGCATATGCCGGCACTCCAGGGTCCTGGGCTGGTGCTGGGGTGGGGGGGCGGGTCCTGGGGATTCCAGCACTGTGGGCGGCTTTCCCAGCCAAGATTGCCTGATTAAAGGGCTGCATCATTTTCTATCACACCCTCCATGGCTCGGCTGGAAACCATCCAGGCATTCACGCATTTGCATAGCTCTGTGATCAGATCAGGGCCTCTGCGGGGAACCCAGACTCCTCCCCCCACTTGTGGCACAGCTGAGTCAGTGCTCCTGCTCACCCCACAGCACCATCCTCCCAGCGCCCAGGGGCTGCAGTGTGATGCCAATGGTACCAGCAGAGCTTAACACAGCAAGCCCCCTGGGCCCTGTCTCTGCCATTGGGTGCACGGCAAGGACCCTGCAAGCCAGGGAGGCCCAACTTCTCCCTTGCCCTGAGGCCTGGCTCCCTGCCCCCAGCGCCTCACACCAGTGCTGGCTCCCACTCTTCCAGCATCCTGCTGCCCCATGCCCTGACATGGCAGGTGACCAGCAATGGACTGGGCTGTCTGACCCCCACCCCCATGCAGCCCCCAGCCAAGCCACCTCCTAGCTCTGTCCAGGACTGTGCGATGGGGGGAGCCTCCAGCCTGCCCCAGTGCTAGACAGCTGAACCCAGCGCTGCTGCTCATAGCCCTGCACCCCTCCCCACAACCTTGCACGCGGAGGGCAAGACCATCCCTGACCAGGCTGTGGAGGCCACTGCCATTGTTGCCAGCCCCATGTCAGGCAATCCTGTTCCTCCCTGGGCCCCTCACATAAAACAGGGCTCTGAGTGCTGGCAGGGTTGGTGTGTGTCCATCACCCTCCTGCTGCAGGCAGCATGCCTAGCCAGCACTGTCCCCTCAAGTGGCTCCCAAGGCCAGGTACACAGGGGTCAGATCCTCCAGGCATCAAGTATCCCCCTGAACCACAGGTTAGACAAGCCCCTTGACATAGCACCACTTCATCCAGAGCAGCTTATGCACCCCTGAATGGGGCTGCCTACAGCTTCCCTCCACCCCTCAGGGGCTGGAGGCCACACACCACCCACAACCTGCCCCCAACCAGGCTTTGCTGGGGCAGGACCAGCAAGGGGGGTACAGCCCCCTGAGCAGCTCAGCCAGCCAGTGTTGTCCCCCCAGAGACCTGTGCCAGGAGGTGATGCCAGCCCTGCCCCTGCCCCAGCATGGCACAGCCTTACCACTGAAGCAGCACTGACACCCTTAGAGGGCTGCCTTATATAAGGAAGCAAGCCTGCTTCCTGCTGCACCTCTGCACCCACAGCACAGTGAGAAACCAGCCCAGTCCGCAGTGCACAAGCAGCTCTGTCAGCTGCCTCCTTCTAGCACTGCCAGCCAGATGGGGTAGCACAGCCACCCACAGTGACCGTGACCTTGATTCTGCGGTTCCTTGGTTCCATAGCCCAAGCCCCAACCCCAGGACGCCGGGAACTGCAGGCTGGGCTTTCCCCTATCAGCCACAGACCGTGACCTTGATTCCTCCTGGGCATAAGTTGTGTTGCTATTCATCTGCACAGGGGCTGGGGCCTGCAGTCTGGAATGTAGCCTCAGTCCCCTTTGCCCTGGCTCCTGCACCTTTTCACTTGGTCCCTGGATGTAGGGCTGCTGTGCTGCTGCACACTGTTAAAAAGCCACCAAGTTCTACCCCAGAGGTACCTGCATTTGAGCCCAGAGCCAAGGAAGCCTTACGTATACAAGGTTTGGATGATCAAGAGAGGTGGGTGGTTCAACCACCTGCCCACTTGTACTTGCAGCTGTCAGCTCTTTCCTGGAAAGCCTCTGAGTCTGACCTGCTGCCTCCACCCACAAGCCCAGCTCCTTTCCCGGCAGCAGCCAGAGGGCTCCAGTTATCAGGCAGGCACTGAGACATTGTTATTGGCTCCCCCATCCCTGAGCCACTGAGGAGAAGCAGGAGAAATAGAATTTGGGGCTGTAGGAAATAGAGGAACAGACAGCATAGCAACCTGCCAGCCCCTCCACCTTCAGGGCCCTGGGTCCCTGCCACTTCCAGCTTGGCTGCAAGCCCACACAGTACTCACCCAGGCTACCATCAAGGACCAGCTCTTCATCCTTGAGCCCGATCTGGGCTGGTCATAACAGGGTGATGCAGAGAGAAAGTCTGTTGTGGAGTGGCCAGCAAGCCGAGGGGGTCATGGCCTGGTACAAGAGCGACAGGCAAGCAGGCAGCCCATGTTCTTGCTAGCAGCCTGTGTGCCGTGACAGGAGGCGAGTGAGCACGAGCCCTGCCCACGGAGGCTTTTACACACACACCACAGCAGAGGAAATACATGTTTGGAAATGAGTCCCGGGGTGTGAAACCACATGACAGCATCCTGGGGCTGCGTGCGCAGGGGATCTGCCTGGCAGGGTGCCCACTAGCACAGGGCAGCACTCGAGAATCCCAGCCTGGAATCCCTCTGTGGTTTGGGTACCCCACACACCTCCCTTCCTGGGAGCCAGGCCCCTGTGGGCAGCAGCCTGGTCCCCTCTTGGTCCCTTCACAACTCTCCCACCTCAGGCCAGTGACCACAGTTCCTCATTCCTCAGGTCCAGCTCTGGTGGGAGAATGCCAGCACACAGCCTTTGGGGGTGTTCCTGCCTTTGGAACTGGGAGGCACCAAGGGAGCAAGGAGGCAATTAGACATCTGCCAGCTTGAAGGCTCCTGACTCCAGGCCAAACTTGGGACAGGACACCCAGCACTCACGCTGGGAGCCACAGTGCAGGCACCATGGCCCCTGTCCCCAGGGCTATGAGAAGGGGCCACTCTGACACCACTCCCTGTAGGTGTTGTTGCTGATGCTGTCTGTCTCTAGCAAAGAGCAGCATGTGCATACATCTCCAACGCTGACTCCAGGGCAGCCTGAACAGAGGCCATCTGCACAGCCCCATGGACACGACATGGCTCACTGCACTTTTGCATACAGCTCATGTGCTCCACCTCCTGTCCAGGAGTCCAAGCATGTGGCTAGGCCAAGCCTGGGCACCTGCCCTCACCAGGGCCAAGGGAGGGCCTTTGGGCAAGCCGTGTGGCTGAAACTCCTCGTTCCTGCAGGAAGTAGACATGCACTGATATGCAGACACACAGATATTCACACATAGACAGACATGCATGCACAGATGCATGCAGATACGCATAGACACACGCAGGCATGCACACCTGTGGACACATACGCACACACACACAGCACACACCCTGCGTGTAGCTGAGCCCCTTTAGGAGCCAGAGCCATTCTTGCTGGCCAGGACCTGTAAAAGAGCATCTGCCTGGAGCAGGCCATAGTTGGGCCCCAGCACCATATTCCTGGCTGCATGGTGAGAGCCTGGGGATGCCCTGGGCTGGAGGAGGCCTGAGAGGCACTTAACACTCCAGATCAGCTGTTCTGTGGCAGCTTTGTTTCATCAACTGCCCCAAGCCATGTCATGCCCTGTGGGGGAGATACACAGGAGCTTTATGGCACAGGGCAGGGCCCTGCTTGCAGGAAGCCCCCAGCCACCAGGTACCACAACCCCTTCTGCCACAGGAGGCACAGGCCTCCACCGGATGTGCTGTGTGGGGAGAAGCAAGCATCAACCCCCCCCAGACCTTCTTCTTTCTTCCTGGGGAAACCCACAACTGCTTGCTCACAGCTTCTCCTTCCAGGTAAAACCACCACAGCAAGTGTGCTGTGTCAGGGGGTGGCAGCATCCACGATGTGGGGCTGCCCCAAAACAGCAGGCCTGGATTGCAGTGGAGTGGAGGCCCTGTTCTGCACCCCTGGAAGCCCATGGGGTTCCCCGAGACCCCAGACAGCATAGGACTGGGAGGAAGGTTCTAAACATGCCCCAGGACTTGCCCCTGTCAGGGACTCATCAGGGCATCACATGGTGGATATTCTTGCCCCCACAGCTCCCCGGGACTATGGAGGGGAGAACAGCATCTGGTGGCTCTCCTTCACCCCTGCCAGCCCCAAAGACCCGGCCCTTGCCTTAGCCTGGCAGTAAGTGCGAGATGCCAGAGCTGTGGAGCCAACAAGCCACCCCCAAGTCAGAAGGACAGGCGGACAGTGGAAGTGTGCACTCAGCTATGTTTAATGCTTCACCTGTTAAATACTGCATAGGTGGGATGTGCAGCAGGGAGTAGGTGCACTGTAGAGGTTAGTGTTAGAGGACAATACCGGACAGCTCTGAAAACCCAGAGCACCACACTCCCTGGCCCCTCCACCCTCACTCCTCCCTGGCCCTGGCCCAAGGAGCACAGAGGGAGTGGCCAGGCCCCACATCCCCCACTGCTATGATACAGCTCTGGAAAACCCACTCCAAGATGAAGAAGTATGCAGCTCAGGAACATGGCCTAGGGCTTCCTGCCAGGCACACCCTGCTCTCTCCCTCATCAGCACCCCCATGGGAGCCAGGCCACAGGGGCCATGTCTGTCAGTCCTGCTCCCATGCTGCTCCATCCAGCCATTCCCCAGGCACCTCTTTTCAGCAGCCTGTCCCACTGTCAGTGGGATGTGCCTGTTAGAAGAGGAGTGGCTGGTCTCCCCCACAGTCACTGGCTCCCTCAAGAGTGTGTGAGCCCCCAGCCTCACCCCAGCAAATGAAGCTGCAGCAACGAGCAAGGAGCATGCCCCACTCCCAGCTGAGCCAGGTCTGGGCAAGCAGCAGCCCCCTGCTCCTCAGTCTTCTCTTTTCTCTGGGGCACTGATGGTGCCTGCATTCCCAGCCACACTCTGCTGCCCTCGTGGCCCAACACTGCCAGCAGTTAAAGCCTGCCACCTTCCTGCCCACTGTGGCTTTAAGAGGCACCTGGTCATCATGGGTGCGTGCATGCAGCACTGTGCTTGCCAGCCCAGGGCCTGCCCACCACAGCCCTCTGCCCTCTGCACCCACTGCCAACATACTGATCCCTTCCCTGTATCTCAAGGGTATCTCCATAGAGCTGGTGCCCAATATATCCCACCCAGTGTCCCAAAAGGGATACATAGCAGGGTGCATGGTGACCGCGGAGGTAAAACACTGGGGAGGCTATCCAGGACCAAGCAGACTGGTTAGGGGTGATGGAGCAGGAGCTGCCTGGGCTCTGGGGGCTCCTATGGTCACCTTGGCTTTGGCTCTAGGCTCCTGTTGGCATGTTAGACACACACCTTGGACCACTGGGGTCGTTATAGCGAGGTTGCAGTTTCAGGATAGCTCCTCCTGCCAGGAAACACTTACATGTGCTCCCTGTCCCCCAGGGGAGATCACTTGGGAGCCCTGAGGTCAGCCAAACTGCCTTCCCCCACTTTTATGGGGTCAGCCCCTCTGCAGGAAAAGCAGGTGAAGTGCACTGGGCCCAGTACCTCCAGCTTGACTCTGGAGAGCAAGAGGCAAACGATCAGCTGCCCTGGGTCCCAGCTGGGCAGGATCACAAGCTGTGGGGCAGCTGCTGGGCCTGCTGTGTCCTGCCAGGATGAGGTGAGTGGTACCTGGGCAGCCTTGTCCCCACTGCAGGAAGCTAGCATGTGAATAACCTGCCATCGAGCATCGCAGAGCCCAGGACAAGAGGCACTGATGGCAAGGGTGTCACTCAGAGCTCAGCAGGGCCCTCCTATCACAGGGTCTGGGCAGGGCTCTGCCCAGCCTCTGTGTGCCTGTTCTGCACACAATGTTTCACTTGTGTCTCTCCTAGCTACATCCATGCAGGTGGCCCAGTGGGCAGGGCGGTCCTATGTCTGGCTGGTAATTGTTCCATGCAAAGCAGTGGGGCAGGTAAGTTACACCCTCTGCCTGATGCCTACCCCACAGTTCAGAAAGGGGCAGGCAGCTCCTGATGATGCCAAGTGCAAGGGAGAAGTTTCGAGCTGGCTGGAGTCCTGGGGAGGCCACCTGCCCTGCCCAGGCATCCTCCTTCGAGAGGCACTCAGTCACAGCTCCACTGGCTCACTGTTCCTATGTGTGCATGCTCCCAGTACAAGCCCGCCCTGGGTGTGCACATGCACTCATGCCATCCTGGCACATAGACCTGGTGCATGTGCATCCGCGTGCATGCACACCCATGCAGCCTGGTCCCTGCTCACCATGTGCAGGCACATGCATGCACACATGTAGACAGGGCAGAGGCCAGCTAGAGCTCCTGCCACCCTGGGCATGATGCTACATCGTCATGGAGAGGTGGAACAGGTGGTGCTGGCATCACGCTCCTCCCATTGGCTCAGACCTCCCTGCAAGACACAGAGAAAGCAGCTCTTAGCAGCCTATTGGTGGGTGCTTTCCAGGCCCATAGCCAGTTGCACATGCTACACTCACTGTCCCAGAGCCCTCCCCACACAGCATTATCTCCTCTTTACTGCAAGATGATCTCCAGACTGCTGAGCTAGGAGGCAAGCTCCAACTGCAAGGAGGCTGTAAGAAGCCCTGGTTCTCCCCCGCCAATGCCCTGCATGGTGACCTGAGCACCTGAGACAGCCCAGCCCCCCGGTTCCTGGCATCAGCAGGCTCTACCCAGAGGCAGCCGGGGAGCTGGAAGCTGTAGCTTGGCTTGTAGCACTTACGAGGCAGTCAGCGTGGAGTTCAGAAGCAGTGTGGTCCGGAGCCTGTGGAGTTGCGCCAACGTCAGCTTGCGGTGCTGGGCTGCCTGTGGGTCTGAGAGTGTCCGGCGGGCAGTGGGCAGCTCTTCTGGGCAACACTCTGTCAGGGAGGTGCTGAGTGCCCGGCAGGGGACATCAGTGGCCAGAGGCTCAGCTGGGGGTGTTCCTGCAGGGCTCCCTGCAGAGCAGGCAAGACCCTGGTGGAACACAGGCTCCTCAGGCTCCGAGAGCTCTGAGGCAGAGCTGCCGCCGCTGCTGCTGCTGCAGGCACTCAGGCCACTTGCCCGGCTGCCCTGCAGGTTGCTGCTGTCCAGTGGGGCTCCAATGCATTTGCCACCCAACCCACTAGTCCTCGGGCAGCTGGCTGGGACCCCCACAACCGAGCCAGCCAGGAACACCACTCGCCCTGGAGATGAAGATGGAGCTGCGCACAGGTCGGAGAGGCTCTTGCTCTGGGTGAGGGAGGCCTCTGGGCCAAATGGGGAGGCTGCAAAGAGCTGCAAGAGGCTGGCCTCTGACTTGGACTTGAGCACACGGGCACGGCAGGGCAGGAGCTGCACGGGTGTCCGGCGGCGCAGCTTGGGGGAGATGCGCTGTGAGTCTTCCCCTGCTGGCCCTGGTGGCTGCACCTCCCCCAACTCCTGCAGGGAGGCAGGCGACATGGTGCCATAGGCACTATCCATGGATGCTGACCAGGTGCTGCCGGTCTCCAGTGCCAGGCTGCTGTGGGTGCCAGGGATGGGGAGGGCATTGGCAGGCTCCCCACTCCCATTGAGGAGCTCCCGGGTGGGCGTGGTAGATGAAGCGGTGGTACTTATGGAGGTCTCATCTGATGGTGAGCTGAATGGCCCCACCTCGAAGTCTGGGGAGGAGAGCTCCCCACTGGCATCCACCACCACCACCGAGATGGTCTCTGTGGAGCTATCAGAGGGGCTGAGAGGGAGAGAGGCTGTCAGGAAGGAGCTGAAGGTATGGGGAGACTGGGCAGGGTATGGGGATGGCAGTGAGATGCTGCAGACGGCAGGACTAGGTAGGGGCATGAGCAGAGAGTGAGGGGAGGCAGCCCCTGTGGTGGGGAGAATCCCAGTCTGCAAGTGTCTGGGGCCATTCCAGCAGCAGGTGGCTCCAGCTCCGGGGTGCACTACCCACTGGCTGGTCACTGCAGCTACATCACTGGGGTCAAGTTCCCTATCTCCACCCCACCCGAACGGGCCTGCAGTCCTGGGTGGGGGTGTGGGAGCACTGGGCTGTACCATGTGGGCATGTGTGGGTGGGCTGGGCCATACCACTGCTGGGAGTCAAGACTGTTGCTGCTCTTGCGCAGGATGGTAGGCGAGCTGGCAGCTGAGGCCCCACTCTCCCCGTCCTCCTCCTCCTGCAGGCTCTGCAGCTGCTGTCGCTGGCTGCGCTGGTGCTCCTGGACACGCAGCTGCTGCAGCAAGTTCTGCAGGCAGACAGAACAGCCTTTAACATGGAAATGCTGCATACTGTGGCATGCCCCCATGACCCACTGTCAGGACCAGCCTGCTTGGCCGTAGCCTGCTTGAGTGTCCTGTCCCAAGACAGCAGCTCACTCCCTTATCACCCAGAGCTATCAGAGAGAAGGTTAGTGGCCTTGCCACACCAGGGCACACAGCTCACCCCTACTGCCATGGAGACTCTGCTCCCATGCATGTGCCATGGGCACACACCATGCTATTCCATGGGTACCCAGCATAACACAGGCAAAACCAGACCAGGCACCATGCCAAAGCCAGGGCCACAGCACTGGCCATGGAGCTGTTTCCTCCCTACAGGAACACCCCTCCCCACAGAACCCCCACTGCCTTGGCACAGACCTTACTGGAGGCTCCAGGCATTACCTGGGCATTGTAAAGTGCATCAGTCCATCCACGGCATAGGGACTGCCCGCTGGCCTGGAAGGTGTAGGCACCCACAGCACTCCGAAACTCATTGAGATAGATCAGGAGGAAGGAGCCTGCCGGGGGCACAAGCAGGAAGAAGTCAGGTGTAAGCAAGGGGCTCCCCCAGGGACCTGCAGCAGAGGCACTGTCTTACCAGTGCAGGCCAGACCAGAGATTTGCTGCCTGGCCAGGGGGATGCCCGTATCCCCAGGCTAGGCTGGGCAGACAGCAGAGCCTGCTGCAGGGTGAACACAGCTCTAGGGCAGGCCAGGGTAGTACGGAGGTAGGTTCAGGCCACCAAATGCCAAACTCCTTTGCAGAGGGGCAGAACTGATGGTGCAGGAGGATAGGCCATGCAGCACCTAGAGGGCATGGGCGAGGGTGGGTCCAGCTGGCAACAGCCCACATTGGGCATGGTGGCATGATGGGGCTCTTTCCTCTGCCCTTAAAGCTAGCATCATCAAGAGGTCAGGCCTCTGTGCCCAGGATGGCAAAGGGAAGAGTCCCAGCTGGCAGGGCAGGGGGAAGGAGAGAGGGGAGTCCTCAGGTGACCTCTCCCAACTAAGGCAAGGCAGGATGGCTCTGCTGGACCACGAGGAAAAACTCAAAGGTGAGAGAGCAGTGCAAGGGCCCGTGCCCACCCCAGCCCTCAGACCCGCATGCTCCTCACCAGGGTCCTTGAGCTCCCGGCAGACAATCTTGTCCACCAGCAGAGGCTGCCGGACAACCTTGGTGCGCTCAACCTTCTTCACTGGCTTAGTGATGAGGAAGAGGTCCGTGAAGAGGAAGCAGTACACATCCATCTGGGGGCAAGAGCCATAGGCCATGGGACTGTGTTGCAGTACAACTGGAGGGCAGGGACTCCTCAGCCCAGGGGACACCCCTGGGCAATGTCACACCATTGACCTCAGTTGGGCTAACCCTCCCAGTGGGCAGGGGAAGTGCCCCCAAGAGCAGCTGCAGGTACAGGCACTGCCACCCACCCAGAAGCTTCTGTGTCAAGCCCACAGCATCCAAGAGAGAAGCCAGGGAGGCAGTGTCTTAACCACAGAGCCAAGATATTGATAAGTCGAAGGCCAGCTACAAGGGGCTCCTGCTCTGGTGGTGTCCCTTACCTTGCTGTCTTTACCTTCCTTCATCTTCAGGCTGCCCTCCAGGAGGAGCTGCCGTGTATCCTCAGGGGAGGCACCTGGGATGGGGGCTGTCAGATCTAGGCGCAGGAACTCCTTCAGGAGCTGCAGGGCAGAGCAGAGAGGCAGTCAGGGTGTGGTGCGCAGGGCACACCTAGCCCTGGCCAGCTTCAGCCCCAGCCTACCTTGTCCACCTCATCGGTGCTGCTCTCCACCACCTCGTAGGCATCAATGCGGCTGATGATGGTGGCCAGATGCTGCTGCTCCTGCCGCTGCCGCATCTGTGAGTTCACGTGGTTGATGAACTGCTCCACTGAGGTGATCTGCAATGGCAGGAGCGCTCAGAGCAGACACCAACAGGCTTGACTCACAGCCTCTGCCAGGGTGTCAGTCCTCCTGAGCACAACTGACTCCTGCTGCAGAAGCTGGGGACAATTCCCTGTGCAGCACCTTCCATAAGCAGCTGTGTCCTCAGGCAGGGCACAGGGTGCCCCAGCCTGGCACAGCGGCATGCAGACAGCAATGCTGGGGTGCATGCTATCTAAGCAAAACAGGCATTTCCTTCCCAGCCTCCCTGGTGTCCAGGCATCCCCTGACAGGTTACCATAGTGATGATAGCATCCCTGGTGCAGGCATCATCTGTCTTCTTCAGCACTGACTTAAGCAGGAGCGGGTACTTGGTGAGGCGCTGGTGCGGCTTCACCAGCATGTCACTGAGCTTCAGGCGGTTGCACTGCTTGTGCTTCTCTGCCCACTGAAAACACAGGGACAGGGTCAGTGGGGCTAGGCTGTGGGGGGTCTTGGCATCATCCCTGCCCCCACCCCATCTCAGGACTTACTGTTACGTAGACGCGGAAGAGGTCGCTGTCTCTCAGCAGCATTCGCATGTACTCCATGCAGCCCTCCTCCTCCATGCAGTATTGGATGTAGGGCTGGAAGAGAGTGCCAAACTGCACGGCAAGTAAGACCACTCAGTGGGTGCACAGAACCCCCCACCTGAGCCCCCAGCCCAGGCACGGGCACCCCACCTACCGCTTTGAACCCTTTCAGGAAGTCCACAGGGTCCAGCAGTGTCCTGGTCCTACGGGCCTTCTCCAGCACAGGGCACATCACACTGTCCCACAGCGAACAGTGCAGCTGGATGATCTCCTGGATGTTGCTGAACAGGCGCTCAGCTTCTACCTGCAGGGAAGGCAAGGCATGGCAGCAGGGTCAACTCAGAGCAAGGCGAGGATCAGCCCAAGGGGGCCCAGCAGGAGCATGCACTGCAGCCAGGAACTCCCTGTATGCTGGCCCACAGGGCAGGGGACCGCGATTGCCTCCTTCCCTCAGCTTCTCCAGCAGCCCATGAAACATGCTTGGAGTTGGCATAGGCTGTGCTGCCTCAGAATAAGGACATGCTCACTGCAGGGCCCTGGGGGATGGGGGTCTCACCACATGCTCTGTGGGGCTCTCCACTAGTCCCAGAAGCTGAGCTTCTGGTGTTTATCCCAGGGACCCAAGCCTAAGTCCTGCCCCTCAGCAGCAGGAGTAGGAGGTGGGACCCCCTCTTCTTCTGACACCTCCCACATCCCTGTGACACTGCACTGTGTGAATGGAGGGAAGGGCTGGTTAAGGGGCACACATTTCCCTAAGATGGCCTGTGGTGCAGGCTGTTGAGAGCCCCAGGCTCAGGCCCAAGAAACACTCTGTGACCAGCAGCCCTTGTCCATTGTCCTGTCTCCGCCAAGCCCTTACCTCACACAGCAGCCCCAAGTCCTGCAGGCTCAGCAGACAGCAGAGGAAAAGCTGCACAAATAAGCAGAGAGCATAGTGTAGAGCAGACACATCCAGCCCCCCAGGAAACTTCCCTGGCACCTGCCAGGGTCTCCAGCCTGTACGAAAAGTGACGGGGACCAGCAAAGGTAGAGCCAACCTGCCTGGGTTGCCCTGTGCCCTGGCTGGTCTCTCAGCTTCTCTTGCTCACTGGGGGCTGGAGGCAGGGAAGGGCTGATAGGTGTACCACAGAATCCTGCAGGAGGGGCCAAGATTGCTCACAGCAGGGTGAGGGCCAGCCACCCACAGAACCTGTCCACCCCTGCTCCTAGCATGGAGAGAGCCACATGACAGGCCCATGGCTTGGTCCTCTGCCCCTAGCACAGTCATCACTGCCTCCCAGGACCAGGAGGTCTCTGCGACAGCACCCCCAAGGACTGTCCCCTTGGCTGGCCCTCTGGGAGGCTGGCTCTGCCCAAGTGCCTGTGGCAGGGGTGGGATGGGACTCACATCTGTGATCACTTTCAGTTTCCGGATGTAGGTAGCCTCTGTGTGCAGCAGCTCCCAGATGGCCTCCTGCTGGTGACACTGCCGGCGTGTCAGGGCCTACAGAAGGGCACAGAGAGCTCAGCACCAAGGCTGTGGTGCCAAAACCCAGCAGCTGACAGAGGCAGCAGCAACACCAAGGAAGATAGCATCTCGCAGCCCAGCCTCCATGGTGACAGCACTCCCACCTGCCACTATTGGCCCTAGGCTCCAAGGCAGCTTAGGCAAGGCTCAGGGCATGCAGGCTCTAGGGAATCAGATACCACCAGGATAGCACTCTAGGCAGGAGCAGGGAGGAGCCCAGGAGATAAAGCCCCCACCCCACCTGCTTGGCCACCTGATGGGACCAGGGGAGGCTCAGGGTGGCTGCTATGCTTGACCAGCTGCACACAGGCACTGGGAGGGGACAAGGCTCCACAGGGACTCAGCAGCAGCTAGAAGCATCTCTGCAGGAGGCTCCTGGTGGCAGGCAGCAGGCCCCCGCCCCTGCCTCAGCCCAATGCACCTGCCCATAGCCTACAAAGGGTGCCAGGGCTGTGGCAACCCCCAACACGGCAGGCTGGCTTGAGTCAACATCCACGAGTGCACTGTGCCCCACCTCTGTGCCCTCAATGATCTCCTGCCAGCTGTCCTCCATGCACAGATTGGCATCATCACCCTTCTCCTCCCAGGAGTCCTTGTCAAAGTAGAGCTGCTGTGGGGGCTTGGGGAGACCTAAGATGCTGTAGCTGTGGAGCCTGCTCTCCAGCTGCTCCATCTTGTCGATCTCCTGGAGGGAAGAGCACAGCACCCTGGTCAGGAGTCATGGCCTAGGCATGTCCGGACCCCCTTGAAGCAGCTTGCTCCAGGGAGCAAGAGCAGAGCTCCCAGCTTCCTAGCCCCACAGGCGAGGAAGGGATCGGGCAGGTACCTGAGCCCTAAGCAACATGGATGCATGGCCTGACTATTAGGAGATTCGTGCCAGGAGGGGTGGGCAGAGTCACTGCCTAGGCTGCTCGCATGCATGGGCAGCGTGGAGATCAGAGGGCACCCAAGGGAGTGGGACCAGACCTCCCCAGATCACACAGTGCCCACAGGCAGTGGAAAGTGGAAAGGTATGGGGTATGGACTGCACTGCCCACCCTCCCTGTCCCTTCCATGCCACTGCAGAAGCCCTGAGCAGTCACTCCCCACCCAACCCTAGACACTGTGGCTCAGCTGGCGCACACAACCTACCCGTCCTGATGGGCCAGTGCTGGCACCGGAGCCAAAGAAACCACTGAAGCGGCTGGCAGCACGGTTCTTCCAGGTGTCGTTGCCGCTGCTAGGCAGGGAGCTGCTGCCATGCAGTGCAGGCTCAGCCCCTGGGATGCTTGTGTCCCCCAAGAACTCAGTCATGTTCTTCCTCCGTCGACCTGGTGCCTGGAACAGGCAGAGTAGAACCAAAACCTGAGGCAGCAGCAAGGAATGCACAGCAGACACTCACTCTGTCTCTCCTTGCCCTGGCAGCATCCACAGGAGCCAGCACCTTGCCTGCACCACCTACATGTGGGGTGTGCACAGGTGGGTATAACCCTGCACCCCTGGGAGCTGCCTCTGTCCCATGTACTTGTTCCTCTCTGGGTGCCAGCAGGTGGAGGCTGTGGCCAGAGACACTGAGCATGTTCTGGGCAGCTCACTGGGCACTGGTCTGTTGGGGATGCCCAGCACCAGGGACCTGCAGCTTATGGTGCTGGTGATCGCTACTTCCCTACCATTTGTGAGGCTGAGGAAACTCAGGACCAGGGGCCATGTTGGGTCCCAAGCACCACCACTCAATGCAGTGGGCAGTGCTGGCCCCCTGGGCCTCAACTCTCAGGGAAGCAGCCTCTGCAGGTTCCTGCACCACTGGGCCCTACACCAATACTGCTAGAGATGGATGGGGATATCTCCATGGGCTCACCCAGGTGGCTACAGCCCACCAGTCCCTGCAGAAGGGACCTGTGCACCTCAGCTCCAAAGCAAAGCCCAGAGCCCTGCCATAGCCTCATGTGGGAAGGTGGGAAAGAGCAAATTCCAGGCCCCTTTGTGTCTTCTATGGCTCCATGAGCCCCACGACCCCAGCTCCCCAGCGGGTCATGCTCCCTATGCATGGGGAATTGCATCTGTGACAGCTCATCTCTGCCCTTCCAAGCAGAGATCAGCAAATGACAGCCAGACAATGCTGCTTGCTGTGGGCACACAACTCCCAGCTGCCTCTGCAGCCCTTGCCTGTGGGATGGACGGGTGCACAGAGCTCTACACTGTTCACCCAGACTCTTGAGTCAGGCTGGGCTCAGCTTGGTCTCCACAGCCCATGGGCTACAGCCATGTTCTCCAACCCCATAGCATACCCCTCAGTATAGCACCTTTGCTCTCTCAGAGCTGGTCCCAGTCCCTGGACCACAGTATTAGCACAGGCAGGCACCAGCAGAGTGGGCAAAACCCCAAGTACTAGCATTGCCAAACGGTGCAGTGAGACCTCTCCACCCCAAGCTGTCAGGGGACAGTTAAGTCTGTGGCCTGCCAAAGGCACACAGGAGCAGCCCAGCCCATGCCCACAACATCAAAAACAGCCCAGACCCAGCTGGAACCCCCACTGCTTCCCTGATACCGCACTCCTCCCATCTCCTGATGGAATCACTCCAGGTGCTGACCTGCTCAGGCTCTCCCTCTCACTCCAGAAGCTGAAGCCAGCAGCTGTCTACCTCCACCCTCACCACTACTGAGACACAAATGTACCCTTCCTCTTCATGGAGGCAGTGCCCGAGTGCCTCACAGCAGCATATTCACTCAGTCTCTCAATACCACCCCACCCAGATGCTTGCCCCGCCGCTGGGGGCAGGGGGAGCTGAAGGACACAGGGGTTCAGTGCCCAGGGCCATGGAGGGGGAGCAGCAAGGCCATGTAGCATAGCAGCATAGAGGAAGAACCTTGGCCATGGGCCTGGACCTAATGCCAGGCACTGCCCAGAGGGCTCAGACCCTGACCAGCTGAGCCCAGTGCAGCACCTCTCCCATGAACCCCTGGCCCTCCACACTGTCTGAGCCAGACTTAGGAGGTCTTGGTCCCTCCCTCCCACACTCCCCTTGCTCTCCTCTTGGCGGATCAGAGCACCTTGCCCAGTTCCCTGAGCTGCAAACCGAGCACAGCTGCAGGCAGCAGTGCCTTGCCCCTCCTGCCTGCCCCCCAGCACACTGACCTGGCTGCCCGCGTCCCTGGAGGGAATCCTTGTGTCGCCCTCACTCATGGAGCATAGGCCCCCTCCAAGCCTTGAGGGGGGCCAAACATCACTGTAATGCCTGGCTTCTCCTTCATGCCAAGCCTGAGGTAGTGCCCAATGCGTGCCAAGGACAGGGCCACAGAGGAAACAATGTCTGCCCCTTGCGTGGGTGCAGGGCACCCACCTGAGCCCCACAGCAGGCCAGGCCAAGTCCTGGGGGCCCCACAGCAGAGCAGAGACTCAGGGGGTCTTCCCTCAGCCCCAGTCCCCAGCAGAAAGCACCCAGCCCTGCTCTGGAGGGATTGAGAGTCTACTTGACAAAGGGAGGTGGGGCCTGCAGAGAAAACCTAATTACCCTCCTGTCTAGATAAACTAAACAGATTGGAGCCGTTCAGTGGTCAAGATCAAAGCCCCAGGCCTGCTGCAGCCTGGTGTGATGGCCTGGCAGCCTTTCCAAGCCCTTTCCCTGCCCAGGAGTCAGGAGCACAGGCAGCAGGAAGGGTACTAATGAGTCTGAGGGCAGCTAGCTGCAGATAAGGAACCCTTCCTCTAGGCTGCAGACTGTGCTGCAAAGGGCCTCCAGCTGTCAATCACCCATCAGGACCTACAGCTCCTTGGGCCCAGGGGCAAGTGGCCTGGAGGGAGGAGTGGGTTTCTACCTGGCAGCTCCCCAAAGCAGTACCCTGGTGCTGTGGGAGTAGCTGCTGCTGCTGGAGCAATGCCTCTGGAGCTGTTCCTCTCTTGCATTGTGCCCCTGCAGCCAGCTCCCTGTATGCTCGCAGATGACAAGCCAGCCCTATCCTGCCCGCTTTGCCCAGGGATGGCTACTGCCTGGCAGCATGCCTGGCTGCCACCTGTCACTCCTCACAGATGCAGCCTACCCGCTCCCCCTCCAGCACCCCCCTGGCCACACATGTTCCCTGTGGGCTGATGCAGGGCAGAGATCTGTGTGCCTGGCCTTTGGAGATGGAATCCCTGCCCACTAGGAACATGCCAGGGTGCAGGGCTTCCCCTCCCTCTCTCAGCACAAGGATGCCGGTATTGTCAGCTGCCCACACCAGGCGCATACCTTCTCCTGGCACTGTGCTAATGGCCTTAGAGTATCTTGCAGACTGGCCCAGGCAGGGCAGTCACAGGGCTGGGGCTTGCACTGTCCTTTATAACCAGATGATGGTGAAGGCAAGTGACTGGTGCTGCCTGCTGATGCCCCCAGGGTTCACTCCTGGGGACACTCCTATCCCAGACCCTGTGAGGAGTTCTCCATGTGCTGTTATACTCATGTGGTCATGACACTGGATGTACTCAAGCACAAGTTCTGCCTGCTGGCAGCCCCAAAAACCTTGTGGAGGGAAGCACCTGGACACCCATCTGACATGTCTGCACAGGAGCTGGAATCAGAGTAGCTGAAGACAACCCATGATGGGACTAGCTGCATCCATAAAGGTGGGAGCAAGGGATTGTGAAAGTCTGCACAGAGGGGCTGAAAGAGCGGAGGGGCAGAAGGGGTGCTCCCACAGGCAGGCTAGGCATAGGTAGGCAAGGAAGTTCCCCAGGGAAGTGAAACCGCTGCCCAGTGTCCCAGAAGCCAGAGTGACCCCTGCTCCTGAGCACTCTCTCATCAAGGGGCAGGAGCCCAGCCTCCATTTTCAAGGGGATCCCACCACGCTGCCCCTGAGGATACTCACTCTGTTTGTGCACCCTGCCACCTCCTGTCCCAGGTGGTCTCTGGCTGCCCTGTGGCAGTCCAGCTCCAGAGCTTGCATCTCCCCCCTGAAGCATGGCCTAAATCCTCGGCCACTGGCATTGCTCTGCCGATGCTCCTGGCCTGCTGGCTTCTCTCCTGCTGGGGTCATCCCCAGGCCAGCCATCCTCGTGGGGGGGCGGGGAGCCCCCAAAAAAGCATTGTAATGTTGGATTCGCTCAGCCACAAACCCAGGGGACACCGCCAGCTTTTCCACCAGGGTAGGTATCCTAGCTGGGGTCGGGGGGCTTCCAGGGAGGGGGCTGAAGCGCGTGAGGTAGCTCTGCTCAGGGACCTGGTAGGTCCTATCATTTTTGAAATACCAGGTCTTGGATCGCGGGCTCAGCATCAGGCCGACTGTGGTGGAGGCCCAGACTGGAGCGAAGTCTGATCTTGCAGCAAGGGTTGGGTGAGCCTTGTTATCATCCTTTATCTGAGGCCAGGAGTCCACAGTGCAGCCCTGGGAGAGGGTTCAAGGGAAGCGAGTGGAGCCCTGCTCACACCTGCCTGCCAGGAACCATAGGGCCTTTCGGGGAGCAAGCTACAGAGGCACTGCCCAGCTGGGGCGGCACACCCCTGGTGAGGACTCTGAGACAAGCCAATACTGCGGCAGGTCAAGAAGTTGCAGCCCAGACTAGGACAGGCTCCAGTACCAGGCCCTCAGAAATGCAGTGCACACTGAAGACTAGTTCCTGTTTGCCTTTGTTGTGGCAACCAGCCCTGATCTTGGTATCAGCATCGACCCCACCTACACCAGGCACAAGCAGCCACTGCCAGCTGGCAGGAGCTGGGTGTCTCCAGACACCCCCACTGTCTGTCTGCATAGAGATTATGGGGCTGCGTGCTGCAAGCTGGGCAGAGAAGCTGCTCCCAGCCCTGGCACCCCACACAGGATCTGCTGCAGTGTCAGCTGTGAAGGTGTGGGCAGCCCTGCCAGGCTGAGCACCTGCCCCAACTCAGGCTGCCAACAGCTCTGTCCTGGCAGAGCAGGACCTGCCACCTCACAGCTGTGAGGCAATGAAGTGTAAGGAGCTGAGACAGAGGCAGGAGTGGGCCTTCCTGCCTGCAGCAAAAACAGCCCCTGCCTGGGCTCAGCACAGAGAGAAGCTTTATGTGGGGGTGGGGACAGGTGTAAGGGTTGAAGCCAGCTACCAGGAGTGGTGCCAGGCTGTCTCTCTCAGGAAACAAGGCCCAGACCTGGACACTGTCAACTGGGGCTACAGGACATGCCAGGATGGGCCACAAGCACTCTGCTTCCTGTGCAACAGCTCTGGCAGAAAAGTGCACCTGCCTGCTCCCAGATGAGGTGGCACTGGCCAAAGGCCTGGGCTTTGCCCCAGACAGGCAGCCAGGCCCAGCAGCCTGGTTCCTACCCTGCCGTTGTGTATGCACCCAACAAAGGCAGAGGCAGCAGCAGAGGCAAAGGCAGGGCTGCACAGTCCCATCGGTCAAGCTCACATACCAGGCAGGGTCACACACACATATCCTCACAAACCACCCACCCCACACACACCTCAGAGTCCCACCAGACAGGGCCTCTGGCCACTGCCCTGTCTCACTCGTTGCAGATGTTTCCCAGCCCTCTACCTTGAAGCCCAGGCAGAAGGGGAGCCCAAACAGCCAATTCAACACTGCCCTCTACCGACGCAGGCCCCAGCTTCACTGCCATGAGAGCACAGTGCCTCATGGGCCCCTTCCAGGAGCCAGCAGCCAGCCACCTGCTGTTGGCCAGGTGCTTAGGAAGGTTCCTGGGGCCAATGGAGAGAGAGCAGCCAGATCCTGGGACTCCTGGCAGCAGGCTGAGAGTTAACTTCAGGTGCATCTCTATGGCCTGGGCTCACCCCTGGCTGTGACATGGCTCCACCCCACCCAGCTGTTTTCACCATGCTCATCCTACCCTCTTTTCCCTGCCCTGGCTATTTGCTCTGTCTCGTAGCAGCTCTTCTGGTTCCCACAGTCCGGACTTGCAAAGCACAGCTGGTGCTCAGAAGAGGTGACAGGCGTCAGGCTGATGACAAGGGAGGTGGCACTGTACGGACACCTAGCTAAACAGCAGGGGTCCCTAACAGCTCGCATCGACCAGTTTGTGTCCTGTGTCAGGAGCACCGTGTGGCAATGCAGGAACCAACTAGTGTAGACACACAGAGGTCGAGGAAACAGATTGTCAAAATGTTTCTGAGTGAACTCCAGTCCTGCTACCAAAAGGCGGTGGGAGAGGATGGAGAAGATACAGCCAACTCCACTTGGCAAAGGGACTCTTGGCAAAGGCTATTTAAAGACACTCTGAGAGGCGGAGTGTTCAGCTATAATGAAGATGACAGTGACCCAACCAGACCTTGAAACAACAACGATGACAACAGCAGTGTCAGCAGCAGCGGAGGCAACAGTGAGCGTGACAGTGACAACAAAAAAGATAGGGAATAAACGGACAATGTAAACCCCAACAGCAGGGGGAGAACTAAGAGACTATATTACAGAAAGGACTGTAGACAGGTGTGCGGGAACGCATCGATGCACAGGTGTGACCATTGTAATGTGTGCGCGGGGTTTAAATACATTTAAGATTTGCGTAGAAATGCTTATGCGGAATGCTGCGTGTGGATCTATGTAACTATATATATATATATATATATATATATATATACATATATATATACTCTTCTTAAAGATCCCCAGGGTAGGGGCCAGCACCACCTCCCTTGGAAGTTGGTTCCAGCTCCTAGCCGCCCTAACTGTGAAGTAGTTTTTTCAGATGTATATATACACACATACACACAAATATATATATTTTTTTTTTAAAACCCCAAATCCTCTGGCATTTGGTCTGCCAAGTGAACTACAGGGGCCACTTGGCACAG